TGGCAACCCACTCCAGTACTCTTGCCTGGAAAATCCCATGGATGGAGGAGCCTGGTGGGCTGCAGTCCATGGGGTCGCTAGGAGTCGGACATAAATGAGCGACTTCACTTTCCCTTTTCACTTGCATGCATTGGAGAAGGAAATGGCAGCCCACTCCAGTGTTCTTGCCTGGAGAATGCCAGGGACGGGGGAGCCTGGTGGGCTGCCGTCTGTGGGGTCGCACAGAGTCGGACACGACTGAAGCGACTCGGCACTTGACACACAAGCTCAAGTGTTCACCAGAAAGCTAAGGACTTTTAATGACGATGATTGAAAAATCTCACATTTCTTGCAGAGGCAGGAACTAGGGGAAGAGGTGTCATCCTGGGGCCTAGCACCCCAAGTCAAATAGTGGAAAGACAGAACTATAGTAGGTCTGTTGGAGCTGGAATCACAGAAGAGTTGCAGCTGGTGGTGGTGGTGATATGAAAGCAGAGAAGGAGGGGGAAAATCATCCCAGCTTCTCCCTTTCTCCTGCCCTCCAACCTCTTACTCACACAGAAGTCAGAAAATATAACTTACTTATGACAGTTTACCTGTGACAGGGAACAGAGGAGGGGAAGGAGAGGAAAGTATCTGAGGAACACATTCAGACATGATGCAAATGGGAGGCCATTTTTTCCTGCAGTCTGGAGATGTGTAACGACTGTCAGATTTCAGTGAACCTGGAAGGCAATTATAAAGTCAAACCCAAGAGGAGAGGCAAATAAGGGTAAAGTTTTGTTGATCTGTGTTAGCAAAGTCTAAAGAACACATGTGGAAATAGACCCTGAGAGAGCATACACTGACCAGAGGTCCTTATTTCCAGAGGCTATTTTGAGTATCCAGAAGAGTTCCAATTGTTTGCTTGGTTGGTTGGCTGAGTCTTGGACCAAGTAGTATCCACTAAACAAAGTTAAGGTGTCATAAATTTGTTGGTATAAAATAGAGTTTGGAGAAGGGATAGAGAAGGGAGATTGGAATATTGAAGACATTTCCATGTTCAATATTTTCGCCCATTCATGAGCTGTATTTCTCAAATGGTTCCAGAGTGTTTGAGGCTAAAATACTGGAGTGGGTAGCCTTTCCCTTCTCCAGGGGATCTTCCCAACCCAGGGGTTGAACCCAAGTCTGCACTGCAGGTGGATTCTTTACCAGCTGAGCCACCAGGGAAGCCCCCAAATACTAGAGCGGGTAGCCTTTCCCTTCTCTATCAGATCTTCCTGACACAGGAATCGAACTGGGGTCTCCTCCATTGCAGGCAGATTCTTTACCAACTGAGCTATCAGGGAAGCCATGATAAATACATGAGTGAGGGAAACACTGTCATTTTTGAAAAACACTGTCATGGCTATTCTCTGTAAGGCTGAGGATAGTCATTGGATGCTGTGTTAAAATGGGCTCCCTGATCTCACTAGGGCTACCAAGATCCGAGGGTGGCAGACTCTTAGCAGGAACACTAAAGGCCAGGTGGACATGGTCACCAAACAGGCCCAGGAATGGAATTCAGGTGCAAGATGAATAATAAATGCCCATGAATATCTACCTCTTGGCTTGTCCATTGACATAACTCTTTCTCCCAATACTTAAACTTCAAAATAAAGGTCCCAATAAAGCTTCCACTATAACACAGCCAATCCATGGCTAATTCATTTCAATGTATGACAAAAACCACTGCAATGATGTAAAGTAATTAGCCTCCAACTAATAAAAATAAATGGAAAAAAAAATAAAGAAAAAGAAAAGAAAAAAAAATTGGCAATGTATTCCAATCATCTTCAAAGGATTTAGCCTAATTATTATCAGTAACTGTATTTAGATGAGATAGTTGGATGGCATCACCGACTTGATGGACATGAGTTTGGGTAGACTCTGGGAGTTGGTGATGGACAGGGAGGCCTGGCGTGCTGTGGTTCATGGGGTCACAAAGAGTTGGACATGACTGAGCGACTGAACTGAACTGAATTGTATTTAGTTGCACGTCCACGGTCTGGGTGGTTGATGGTCACCCCTCTGACAACCATTATTTTGTCTAAACATTCTATAATCTGAGCAATAAATTGTAAAATTGACCACCCCAACACATTTATAATATGAAGGAAAGAACAGAAAAATTAGTTGAAAATAGTTACATGATTGCATTTGATTGAATCTAAGGATCAGTTGCTAAGCAGCTTGACTTACAGATAAGGAAACTGAAGCCCAGGGGGGCGGGGTAACCCGCCCAGGACAACAGCAGAGAGACACCCTGGACCTCTGACCCTACACCATGTTCTCACAAACACTACCTGCTTCCTCACAGCAGAGAAGCGAGACCTAGGTCCCACCTCCCACGAGGTGTCTTTCCTTGACCCTTGGGTCCTCAGCTCTAAGCAGCCCTGAGTCTAGCTCCACCCTTGCAGCAGTTCTCCAGCTTGGAAGCACTGTGGCCCTCTGACCTTGCTTCCAGGCCCTCCTGGGTACACCGGGCGAGGGGTGGGGGGTGTATCCTGTGGGGCGTTATGAGCATTGTGTGTGTATGTGTGCAGGGGGTAGGGGAATGGGGTCTGGGTTCCTCTCTGGGAATGGGAGGGGAGCAGAGATGGGAGGGTTCTGATTCTGTTTACTTGGTGGCCCAGGCTTGATGCTGAGCTGGGTGGTACTTGCTGATGCCTGGTCTCCTCCTGCCCCTTCCTCTGACTGCAGGCTGGACAGCTTCTGACTGCCTGGTGACTGAAGGCTCCTGGTTGCCTCTGATCTCCTGCTTCTTCCTGATCTGCTCCTTTGGGACTCCAGCCTGCCCCGCCTTGCTGCATGCTCCTTGGTGACCAACCTGACCCGGGCCCTGGAGGTTGTGCCCCAGAGCATGGCGGAGCTCTGTCTTGCCAGTTCCACTTCTGCTCTGTGCCTGAATGCCTTCTCCCACTTCTCTGGGCTCAGGGTCCTGGCCCCGAGTCTACGTCTCCCTCAGCTTCTGCTAGGAGCTCTCAGTGGCTTGGGACAGCTCTTCTTCATAGGCCTCTATACAGATGACCTACTCCCTGATGGCAACCTAAGCTTCCTCCAGCACCTCTTTCTCTTGGGCCCTTGCCTGGATGGGAACATGGGGTTCTGGTTGCCTCCCAGTCTATGGTGGCTGAGGGTCAAGTCCAGCTGCCTTCAGAATGTGGGGGAGCTGGTTGACATATTCCCAGACCTAGTGCTTGGCCCCTCCCCTGGGGATACCTGGCCCCCAGGGATGTTAGAGCTGTCATTCAACCGTTGGCGGAAGATGGCCAGTGCTGGGGCCCTCCAGAGGCTCAAGCTGGGGACTCTGTGTTTGGACCATATGAAGGTGAAGGTAGCTGTAGGGGAGGACTGGGGCTGCAGAACCTGGACACGCTGCCTGTGATCAGCACTGACACGGCCGAGCTGCCCCCTTGCAGCTGCAGGAGCTGAATTTGGCATCCCCTCTGGTAGGGCACACAGCACTGGAGGCTCCGGCTTCCTGCCATGGCCTAAAGAGCCTGAATCTTACAAGCAGTGGCCTGATTGACCTGTCGCCAGGTGTCTTGGCTGCTGTGCCCAGCCTTCAGAAGCTGAACCTGAGCAAGTGCCATGCTGGGCAGAAATAAGGCAGGGCCTCGTCAGGGCTGCAGGCCCTGGCCTCATCCAACAGGGCTGCATATCCTGTCCCCAGCCACCTTTTCCCCTTTGCTCCAGCTACTTCAGGGAAACCAGCTAATTTGTCTGAAGGGCCAGGCATTCCAAGGCTTAAGGGAAACCAGCTAATTTGTCTGAAGGGCCAGGCATTCCAAGGCTTAAGGGAAAGCAGCTAATTTGTCTGGAGAGCCAGGCACTCCAAGGTTTAAGGAGGCTGAACTTGGCTAAGAATTTACTGGTAGCCCTGGCTAGGTCTTCCCTGGTGGCTCAGTGGTAAAGAATCTGCCTGCAACCCAGGAGACCTGGGTTCGATCCTGGGTCAGGAAGATCTCCTGGAAAAGGGAGTGGCATGGCAACCCACCCCAGTGTTCTTGCCTGGAGAATCCCATGGACAGAGGAGCCTGGTGAGCTACAGTCCATGGGGTCATAACGAGTCGGACATGACTGAGCTACTAAGACTTTCTGTTGAGGGCTGGTTGGCTCTGCTGCCTACACTGACTACCCTAAACCTGCTGAATATCTGAATGTTGCAGAGCCCGCCTGGGGCTTCTAGGGCCCAGCACATCTGCACACCTTGAGCCTGCAGCCCCTCTCTGGCCCTTCTCGGGTACTGTTTTCCCTGCCCATGAGCTTGACTAGCTTGGAGTTTCACGTGGTCTCAGGCAGAAAGCCTGGGAAGCTGGCTTCTAATATCTTTCCAGTCTTGGCAGATCTTGACTCTAACAGGCTGGGGGCTGCAGCTGGGGGCCTGGATGGTCACCAAGGCCTTCCCTGCCCTTTGTCAACTCTCCCTGCTTGGGGAGAGCTTCAGGCCCTCTGGGCCAAGGACACCCCCAGTCTTTTTCTCTGGCGGCTCCCCCAGGGTAAGGGAGGATGGACATAGCCCCAGGCCCTGCTGCATCTCAGGACTGGCTAGCCTACAGGAGCAGAAGCTGCAGGCCCCACCCAGTGTGGCTTGAGGAGTAGATGGGTGAGGCTCAAGGTGCTGCTTCTGGTCAAAGTGGGGTTGGAGACACCACGTGCTGTTGCTTTCCAGGGCTTGGGCAGTCTCCAGGTCTTAGTGCTAGACTGGGAGACAGGCCTCGAGCCAGGTGACAGCCTCCAGTACACGTGTGCCGGGGCCCAGCCCCAGCAGGATCCAGGGGAACCCTCAGGATGAACAGCGTCGGCGAGAGAGAGACACGTAGGACCGGCCTTGATAGGGACGAGTCTGCTAGGGAGAGAGAGAGAGAGAGAGACCGACCAGGCCAGGATATGCAGCAGAGTCTGGCAGTTGCTTTATTTTTCACCATCGCCTTTATACCCTAAGCTGGTACATTTCTAAGGGGCAGATAAGCACACAGACTTGGTTTAACGTTACATCAGCGTGTCCTGCACGAAGCCAGGTGTGCGCTGTATATTTTGTTTATGAGCGTCTTTCCCGTGGATTTTTGTGCATTAGCTTCTGGCCTTGAGCTCAGCAGGAAACAGAAGAGTGGCGGTCTCACGGTACAGCAAGTCGCAGCATAATAGAAACACAATCCTGTTAACATAAAAGTCAGTCTTTTTGCAGAAATTCTCAGCTAAATGTATCTAAAAAGTTTAACACACAAAGACTCTGTGGCTCTGGTGAGGCAGCCCCTGTTTAGCGCTCTTGGTTAAAATTAACAATTATCTTATTGTTTTTACACTAGGGCTAAACTCTTATTTTTGAGATCTCCAACTACATTAACAATAGTTTCCACTGCACAACCTCAGCACATTAACATCAATCAAACGTTGATCCAATAACCACTTTTAAATCAATATTTTTTGTATTTTCTAATAGGGCTTCCTCACCCCCAAAGGCTCTGTGCCTATTAGGGCCTTTTTATGGTTAATCTCTATGTATAATATCTTTTGGCTTTCAGGCCTGTTGACAATTTATGGTTTGCACCTGGTGCAACTTTAAGCAACTTCAGTAGCCGACCCTGTCTTTTTTGTGGTTAATCTATTTTCTTTCTATCAGGTGTCATCTCCATGGGAACTAGATAGGACTACATTTTTCACAGAACAGAAATGCAAAGGATTGCAAAAACAGCAGATATGGCACAAAACAGGCTCTTAGTCTAAAAGTTAATTACCTGCAAGAAGTCGCCAGCTAATCTCTATCTAAACTCTATTTTATTAGGCACATTTGTGGCTATAATATTTGTGGAGGTTTTCTCATCCCGCACAGGGACCTATGCTTAATAGTTTCTTTTGTTAGCGTACTGTGCTTAGGATGTTTAGAACAATCATGAGCATTTTGTGTAATGAGAGCACACATTCATCAAACAAGCCAGAATGCCAGCAAAAGGGTTTGAATTGAAGCATTTCCTTCATCCCTGGCCCCTTCATAGGGTACCAGCATCCAGGAGATTTATTAGTTAGGGTTTTAAGTTGTTCTTTATTCACTGAAAGAGGAGCAGGAGATCTCTTGGCAGGCAGCACAAGAATCCGCAGCAGGGCAAACAAGAACAACAGAAAAGGGGGGAGGACACAGGGTGGGGCAGAGGCCGAGGCCAATCTGGAGGGTCCCTTATCCTAGACGGCCTTGCCTGTCAGGTTTTCTCCTCATGACCTCGTCATGGATGGGGTCCCGGACGGCCTTGCCTGTCCGGTATTTTCTTCATGACCTCGTCATGGGCGGGATCTCCCATAATGGCTCCCAGCAATCACCTGTCCCGTTTTGAGGCTGAGGAACGAGAGCCTCTCTCGGGGGTGACTGTGAACAGTTCTCCTTTCCAGGTCATGAGTGACCCGATCCTGCACCAGAAGAAGCTGCTGAAGCGGGCGGTGCTGATGCTGGAGAGGGCGCGGAGCAGGAGGACGAGGTTCTGAGGGTGCTCTCCCTGCGCGCCCTCGGCAACGTGGCCTCGGCGCCCCCAGGAAGGTCCGTGGGGGCCGGGGCGGGGGCCGGGGGTGAGGGGCCCATGGCGGCGTGTCCCGGGCAGCCAGGCGGGGGCTGACGGCCCCGTGTCCCCCAGGTGAGGCAGTACCGGAAGCTCTTACTGGAGAAGTGTGTGAGTTCCCTGCGGGGCCCCGGCGTGAGCACCAGCGTGACCTCTGAGGGCCTGGAGGTCCTGGCCAAGGGCTTGGTCGAGCTGCGGGAAGGGGACCTGGGGTCCGCATTCAACGCCATCTCCGAGCAGTGCAGAGCCTTCTTTGACAACGTGAGTCCACACTGGCCCCTTGCTTGGCCCTGGCCCTCACAGGGGTCCCCACGAATGGCTGCTCAGTAGACAGGTGGCCACTGCTCATCCCCTAAAGGAGAGAGGTGCCCTGGAATGAAAAGGGGTGCAGTTCTGACTTGGGTACTGATGTATCGATTGGCTGATCACGGGGGCTGGTTAAAAAAAAAAATCTTGTTCTAGGGCCCATGGGACCCTCCTCCCCTGACTCTAATTCCTCCCAGCCACAAATGCTATATGGATATCTGTGATTTGTGGGGTGGGAACTCGGCTAGGTTGGGGTGGTAGGCGATCAGATCCAGCACAGCTCCCGTCTAGGCAAGAGAAAGTCACCAACACCAGAATACTGCCCAGTCCCCAGAGCCCTGTGGACTCTGTGGTCCACCCTGTGGACCACCAGGGTGTTTAAGAACGTCCACAGCGAATGGCTGGGGTTTTATTGGGCTTCTCCTTTCCCACGTTTCAGAAACAGCTTGTCTGTCTTGGCTGCAGGAGAGCGAGCTGCTGCGTAAAAAGCCTTCATCCTCTTCGGGAAGCTGGCACAGGTGGTCAGGATTCCCAAGAAGCATTTCTTCAAGCAGGAAGTGAAGAAAGCCTGAGTGCCCCTCATGCTACATTGCCAGGACCCCTACTCCAATGCAGCCCAGGTGAGACACACCTGGGCTCTGTGGGCAACGCCCAGGGCCCGCTGTCCCAAGGAACACGGGCTTCGAAGCTGCTGCCCCAGCTCCTGGGGTGTCCTCTGTCTCCCTCAGTCTTCCTGGGACCCCAGAGGCCACCATCTGCTGCTTCCTCCCACCAGGCTGAGAAAGGAACCAGTCAAGATAACCCACAAACTGGCTGATTGAGGAGTCTCGGCTCTGTGAGGGCAAACACGGCGTACTTTCCTTCTTCCCCAGATGCCGTCACCAGCCGCCCTTTGTTCTGTCTTTCTGTCACTATTCGTGTCCGATGCTGTGACCCCATGGACTGCAGCACGCCAGGCTTCCCTCGCCTTCACTGTCTCCCAGAGTTTGCTCAGACTCACATCCATTGAGTCAATGCTGCCATCCAACCATCTCATCCTCTGTCACCCCCCTCTCCTCCTGTCCTCAGTCTTTCCTGGCATCAGGGTCTTTTCCAATGAGTCGGCTCTTTACATCAGGTGGCCAGAATATTGGAGCTTCAGCCTCAGCATCAGTCCTTCCAGTGAACATTCAGGGTTGGTTTCCTCCTTTAGGACTGACTGGTTGGATCTCCTTGCAGTCCAGGGGACTTCAGGCGCCTCCCCAGCATCACCCCTGAGAGCATCGACTCGTCTTGACTCAGCCTGCTGTGTGGTCCAGCTTCCCCACTCATACAGGACCACTGGGAAACCACAGTTCTGATCATACAGACCTTTGCTGGCAAAGCGATTTGCCTCTGCTTCTTAATGTTCTCTTTAGGTTTGTCACAGCTTTTCTTCCGAGGGGTAGGCGTGTTTCAATTTCGCCCTGAGGTTTTGATTTGCATTTCCTCAATGGCAATGGTCTTGAGAATGTTTTCATGTGATTACTTGCCATTTGTATCTCTTTCCTTCGCCCATTTTTAAATTGGCTTATTTGTCATTATATTATTGAGTTATAAGAGTTCTTATATATTCCAGATACAAGTCCCTACTCAGGGGCTAGATTCGCAAACATTTTCTTTCATTTGGTGGGTTGATTTTTCACTTTCTTGATGGTACCATTTTCAGCACAAAAATTTTTAGCTTTGATGATATCCAGTTTATCTTTTTTTTTTTTTTCTCATCACTTGTGCTTCTGCGTGTTATTTCTCAGAAGACTTTGCTCAGGCCAAGATCATGAAGACTTATATTTACATTTCACTCTAAGAATTTTATAGTTCTACCTTTTATATTTACATATATGGTCCATTTTGAGTTCATTTTTGTGTATGGAATGAGGAAGGGGCCCAACTTCATCGTTTTGTAAGTGGCTATGCAAGTCTTCCCAGCATCATTTATTGAAAAGACTACTCCTGAGTACCAAGAAGTGTCTTGGTACTATTGTTGAAAATGAATTGACAGTAAATGTGAGGTCTATTTCCAGACCCTCAATTCTATTCCATCTATCTATTATCTATCCTGATGCCAGTATCAACTTGTCTTGTTTACTATAATTATGCAAGAAGTCTTGAAATTGCAAAATATGAGTCTTTCAATTTTGTTCATTTTTAAATCATAACTGTGTTGGCTATTCTGGGCCCCTTATAATTCCACAGGAACTTTAGTTTCACATTGTCAATCTCTGGGGGTGGGGGTGGGAAGCCAGCTTGGATTACAGTGGGGGTCGTGTTGAATATATAGATAAATTGGCAAGTGTCACCATCTTAAATATACTGTCTTCTAATCTGTGTACATGAACTGCTTTCCATTGGTCGGGACCCTCTCTGATTTTCAACAAAGTTTATGGTTTTGTAAAGACCCCTCAACGATGAAATATACGCACACAGTGGTCATGAGCCAACAGCTGGATGAGACAGGGAGGAGAAACTAGTGTGTGGGGAGGGATGGGGGCGGGTGTGCAGCATGGTTTGATAGAAGGCGTACTGTCTCCTACCCCCGTCTGCCAAAGGTGGAGGTCCACCACCAAGTGCCTGCTCCATTTCCCCCTCCAGGCCTTATCTTCCCCCTTGGGCATCCTGTGGATCGGTGCCACCTTCACCCTTTTCACTATTTACCAAAACACATTCAGATCTCATTCCTTGCCACGGACTCTGCTAGGGACGACACTGCAGGTGGGGGTGAGGTGAGAGGAATGAGGAAGCTGGTGACTGGAGGGGAAATGCCCCCCAGCTCCAACAAAGCAGGATCTTGAGGGGAAAACAAGACAGAACAAAACACCACAGCCCTCGGGTCTGGACCAGCCAGCCGTCTCCCCTCCCAGGGCGCTGTGGGCAGCCTCAGGCCTACCTGGCCTCACGCGGGCTGTCGCCGGAGTCCCCTCCCTGTCTGAACAGCCCTGCCTCTGGGAACCAACCTTCTCCAGGGAGGGGCTGTTGAAGCTCTCGATCTGGTTGTTCAGCTCTTTGCTCAGACGCAGGCTCCAGCGGGAACCCCGAGGCATCTTGAGGGAGTTTCTCAGAAACTGGGGGTGGGGGGAAGAAGGCACAGGTGGGCAGTGCTCCAGAGGGCTGTGCTCCTAGAGCCGTGACTCTCCCTCTCCAGCATCTTCCCCCGTCTCCAGAGGGCTTCGCCCTTTCAGCCCCGACCCAGCCTTGTGCTGTGCCGCCTTGGGGGCTGCCGGGAGGGGTCACCCTGTGCTGCCTCCGGGGCTTGGGCTTCCAGGGTGGGGTCTCCTGCTGGAGCTGCTTGTGCTCCCCAAGTCTTGTGACAGGAGGGGAATGTGTCCCCTAGGGTCTCCAGAACTCCCCACACGCCAAACCCACCGAGCTGCCCCAACCACCCCCCAGCCTGGCCTCAGGCGGCGGGATCACCTCTACCTGAATCAGCCTGTTCTCCCACAGCTTCTGGTTCCAGGTAAACTCGGTGTGTTCTGCAGAGAGAAGGGCCACCCGTGCTCCTCTCTCTTGCAGCTCCTCCATGCCGCCTCCTAAAGGCAGCATCTGGGGTCCTCTGTGGACGGGCTCCCCACAGCCCCATGTTCCTCCCCACCCTCCCAAGGAGCAGAGTAGGCTGTGCCGGCCACCTGGAGCCTGGGCGCCTTTGCTCAGGCCACGTGACTGGCACTCGGCATGTACAGTGATGTGAGGTGGCCACACACCCCGGGCTCCTTTGCTCAGATCAGGTGCTGAGTACCCGGCATGTACACTAGGGGTGTGTGGGGGGATCACACATGCACTCAGGATCCTTTGCTCAGCCACAGGTCTAGCACCCGGCGGGTAAACTTAGGGGCTGGTTCACACATGCACCCGGGGCATCTCATTTCCAGGTACTTGACCAGCTGCGGGATCTCCAGCTCCCACATGTCGGCCATGGAGGGGGCGATGCTCTGGCTCAGGGTCTTCAGAAGGTTGAGCATGGAGATTCCGCAGCTCTCCCCCTTGGAGGGGGACGACATCAGTACCTGGGGAACACCGAGACTCCAGTGGGGCCCCTCCCTGGCTGGGCAGCCCTAGGCCCCACACACCCCAACCTGGGGCCTCGCTGTCCGAGCCCATAAAGGGAGAGTTGGACAGGATGGGGCCTTTCAAGCAGAACTCCAAGGATTCCCAGGATCAGAGCATCCCTGCAGAGGATGCTGAAGGCACGAAAGGAGACACGAGAGCATGGGCTCCCTCCCCACCCCGGGTTCCATGGAGCTCGGAGCAGGGTCAACACAAGGAGAAGGATGCATGGTGCAGGGCGGAGCTGACCCCCAGGGAAGGGCACTGCTGACAGAGTCCTGTGGATGCTTGGGGCCATTCAAAGGCCCAGCAGAGAAATCTGGGAGCCTGCTGCCCTTGCCATATCTCCCCAGAGGGATGACGGGTGCCTGGAAAGCTCTGTCCTGCCAAGCATCCAGCTCCTTGTTCTCCTTGGAGGCCCTGGGGATTAGGAGCTCATGGGAGGGGCACCTCAGGACACAGTGGGGGCCAGGCCAGTGCACGACCCGTGAGCCACTCACCAGGAGTCGGGCCAGCAGCTTATGTGGCGCGGACAGATCCACTGGGGAGAGAAAGATACAAAACACTGAGGCTGCCCTGCTCCCGTACCCCGGGGGAGCTTCCCCTGTAAGGTGTTGCCCCAACAGCATCCCAGAGCCCCCCAGAATTCAGGAGGGGCCAGGACGGGGGATTTTCCACAAAGGACATCACTACAAATGGCCATCCCGAAAAGGAGGAGCCTGGTGCTCTGGGCTGGGGCTGAGAAAATGCTCTTTTTTTTTTCTTCCAATTTATTTATTTATTTATTTAAATTGGCGGCTAATTACTTCCCAATATTGTGGTGGTTTTTGCCATACATTGACATGAATCAGCCATGGGTGGACATGTGTTCCCCATCCTGAACCCCCCTCCCATCTCCGTCCCCATCCCACCCCTCAGGGCCATCCCAGTGCACCAGCCCTGAGTGCCTGCCCTGTTTCATGCAGTGAACCTGGACTGGGGATCTATTTCACATATGGTAATATACATGTTTCAGAGCTATTCTCTCACATCATCCCACCCTTGCCTTCTCCCTCCAAATGCAAATGTCTGTTCTTTACATCTGTGTCTCTTTTGCTGTCTCGCATATAGGGTCATTGTTACCATCTTTCTAAATTCCATATATATGCGTGCATGTACTGTGCTCTTTTCAGGACAGGCCCGCTTGGGAGTGCACACCCGGCCGGCCTGAGAGTGGTTCTCTCCTACTCTGAGTCTGGGCCTCCTTGAGCCAACAGTAACTAGACACCACCACCTCCCCTCCCCTCCCTCTCCAGGCTTTGGGAGGCTTTGAACCCACAAGTAGGGAACTCACAGCATTTGGACCAGCGACTAAGGGAAAGGCAGGCCTGCTGGAAGCTGCAGGGAGGCGCGGCACCCAGGAAGGAGCCAGCCCTAGACGCAGGGTCCGGGCAGGAGGCAGACCGGGGGTGGTCTAGCCAGATGCTTAGAGCAGGCTCTGCCCCTACTATCTCTGGGTCCTGTAGGTGCGCAGTCACCTCCTGTCACCAGCCACATCCATCCTCAAAGCCCCAGGACCATGACAGCAGCCTGTGGGACAGGAGGGTTCACGTAAGTAGGTCGGTCTAGTCCCTTTCTTGAGGGTCTGGTGCTAAGAAGGGCGTCAACATGGTGAGTCAGAGGGCCTGGTGGGGGTGGTTCCAGAGGGCTCGGATGGGATATCCAGTCCTTCCAGTGGGCTCACGGGGGCCAGAGAGCTCACACCTGCGGGAAGCCTGAGCCAGGACCCCTGCCCTGGGGTCTGGGCCAGGGCGGGTGGGAGGTGGGGACCAGAGGAGTGGGCTGCCAGAGGAAGCGTGCATGGCTTTAACCTCCTCGGATTTCGGCAAGGGCGGCCTCCTTGGCAAGGCCTTGCTCTCTGGGCTCCAGGCTGCTTCCTGGGGAAGGGGGAGCGGTCCTAGGCACGGGGTGGCCCACCTGCCCAGTCCCTCCAGCTGGCGCAGTGGGGCTGCCCACCGTGCCTGCTCTTGCTTGAGTTGGCCTCCTCATCCTTGGCGTGCAGCTGGCGCTCGGCCAGGTTGGTGAGGCTGGTGCAGATGGGGGTCAAGGCCTCCGTGTAGTCCGTCTCCATGATGCAGCACGGGAGCCTCTCCCAAAATTCCTATGGGGGCGATGGGGGTGAGGTGGGGGTGCTGGGGTCAGCCAGCCTGGGCATTGCACAGCCCCGCGATGAGATGGTGGCCCCTCCCCACCCCGACAGCCTTGTCTCAGCCTCGCTTCTCCAGAACCACACTCTGATGCACTGACTGACCACCTCAGGCCCGCCGGCTCTGCTGTCCAGCCTGGGTCTCGGCCAAGGCCGTCTAAGCTGCACCCACCCCATGGCCGAGGGGGTCAGCTAGTCCTGGGCCCTTGACCTCTGTGCCCCCTGCCTCACTCCAACCCCGCAGCCAGCATATCCTCTTTGACCAGCCCTCCCTCTAACCCCCAATCCCCTAGAGAGGCACACTGGGCAGACAACCTAGCCATGCTTGCCAACTGTGATGATTAGTTTCTATGTGTCTGCTTGGCAAGTGAATGCACACAGTTATTCAATCAAACACTAATCTAGGCATGGCGGTGAAGGTATTTTGATGAAATCTGATCAAGGTCCATAATCCATGTAGGAGGTTACTCTGGAAAATGTGAGTGGACTTGATCAAATCAGTTGAGGGCAAAAAACAGGTTTCCCTGAGGAAGAAGAGAGTTTGCCTCAAGGTTGCAGCCTCAGCTACTGCCTGAGTTTTCAGCCTGCTGGCCTACCTCCTAAACTTCACACTTGCCAGCCTTCACAATTGCACAATACATATGATGTTGTTCAGTTGCTCAGTCATGTCCGACTCTTTGCGATCCCATGAACTGCCACATGTCAGGTCTTCCTGTCCTTCACCATCTCCCGGAGTTTGCTCAAACGCATGTCTATAGAGTCGGTAGATGTCTATAGATGCCATCCAATCATCTAATCCTCTGTTGTCCCCTTCTCCTCCTGCCTTCAATCTTTCTCAGGACCAGGGTCTTTTCCAATGAGTCTGCTCTTCCCATCAGGTGGGCAAAGTATTGGAGCTTCAGCTTCAGCATCAGTCCGTCCGATGTTTATTCAGAACTGATTTCCTTTTGTATTGACTGGTTTGAGCTTCTTATTGTCCAAGGCACTCTCAAGAGTCTTCTCCAACACCACAGTTCTAAAGCATCAGTTCTTTGGCACTCAGACTTTTTTATGGTCCAACTATCTCATCTGTACATGACTCCTGGAAAAACCATAGCTTTCACTATACAGGTCTTTGTCTGCAATGTAATGTCTCAGCTTTTTAATATGCCATCTAGGTCTGTCATAGCTTTTCTTCCAAAGAGCAAGAATCTTTTAATTTCATGGCTGCAGTCACCATCTGTAAAGATTTTGGAGTCCAAGAAAATAAAGTCTGTCACTGTGTCCATTGTTTCCCCATCTACTTGCTGTGAAGTGATGGGACCGGATGCCATGATCTTCATTGTCTAAATGTTCAGTTTTAAGTCAGCCTTTTCACTCTCTTCTTGCACCTTCATCAAGAGGCTCTTTAGTTGCTCTTTGATTTCTGCCATAAGGGTGGTGTCATCTGCATATCTGAGTTTATTGTTATTTTTGAGATACACACACACACACACACACACACATCTCCTACTGGTTCTATTTCTCTACAGATTCTTCGAGCCATGACTCTAGCCTTTCAACTTCACCCTGCCATCTCCCATCTCGCCAGGTGATCACTGAACACCCCTAGTTACCCTGATTCCTTTTAGCCCCACTCCCACACCTAGGAATCTGGGGTGACCTCCTGTGATACTAACAAGTGAATTTGCCTGATGTGTTGTAGCCATCAGGACTAGAATCCCTGGCTACTGAGATTCCCCAGGGATGTAGCATATTGAACAGGAAAGACCATTTTTATCCTGGCTCCACTTTTTACCAGCTTAGAATCCTTGAGGAAATTAATGAGTCCCTCTGAGCCTCAGTTTCCTCATTTATAAAAGCCAGGTAATAATAACAACAGACCTTACCTCACAGGGTGCTTGGGATAATTAAATAAGATTCTAGATACTACACATGTAGTACAGTGCCTGCCACGTGTACTCAATGAATTGTAACCACTATTATTATTATTACTATAACTATTATTTTTGTAATTAGGAGAAGCTGCCACTGGATGGGGAGCATCTGGCCCATGGCCTCAATTAACAGACAATGGTTCCCTCCATGTGCAGTCATGGTAAACTTTCCCTATCTTACTGCTATGTCACATTGTAATACAATTAAAAACTGATGCATTTTTTCCCCTAAAGCCTGTGAACAGCTTGGGGTCACACTGAGCCTTCCTGTGTATGCCCAGATGCCTCAAACAGAGTTGGAACTCGTGTTTGTGAAATATAACCCCTAGAGTCACTTATTTGCACACTCACACATATACACACATGCATGCATATGCAAGGGCTCCCCAAGCGGCTCTAGTGGTGAAGAATCTGCCTGCCAATGCAGAAGACAGGTTTGGTCCTTGGGTCTGGAAGATCTGGAGGAGGAAATGGCACTCCACACCAGTATTCTTGCCTGGAAAATTCTATGGGCAGAGGAGCCTGGTGGGCTACAGTCCATGGGGCCACAATGAATTGGACATAACTGAGTGACTGAATACATGTGCGCGCGGGCACACACACACCCCTGGACTGAGGGGCTTTAAGGTGATGGATGCAGTTCAAGCAATAAGTCAAGTGATATGTATTAGGCCTACTATATGCCAGGCACTGCCCTGCTGAAGGTAATAAGGTCCCATGAAGGAAGTGAATCTTGAAAAACGAGCTCAGGCAATTGAAAGATCTGGGGGGGCCACCCATCCTGCCAGGTAGTGGGAATGGGAGAAAAAACAGTGCAGAATTCTGGGCCTGTGCCATCCTCCCCGCACAGCCTCGCACAGCACACACATGAGCCATCAGCCCCAGCCCAGTGGGCCAACTCACATTGCTCATCCCACTGACAGAAGAGGTTATGATCCTCACGGTGTCCATGGGGACCTTGTGGACCATCTTCTCCTCTAGGCCCCTCTGATAAAAGTTGTCCCTGCGGTCGGTCTGGAAGACAGAACCAAGGAGTGCCTGCTTGTGGGCCGGCAGGGGCTTGCCATGGTCTCACCTGTGGTTTGCTTTCCCGCAAGAGGCTTACACCCAGATACTGAGTCTCCCGGAAGCCCAGAGCTGTGCACGGGTTTCACTATTTTCTAGACCCCTGGCAGCTTACTGTGTGTGTGCGCACTTCTACATGCATGCAGGTTCATTGAGCAGTGCTCTCTCCTCAGCGCAGTGGGAACCATCTCTAAAGCCCAACCACTCCACCGTCACTCACCAGTTTGTACGTGGACAAGGTCAGCTGCACAGACACGTACTTCAGGCCCCAGCCTTTGATCCTGCCCTGGAATCCTGACAGGGCCAGCTGCCCGATGATGCAGAGCATGGCCATCCTCACCTGAGAGGCCAAAGCACAGACACGCTGGGCGCTAGAGGTTCTGCAGGCACCCAATCCCATGACATGAGACAGCTAAGATTTGAGGGTGCTGTGGTCTGGAAGGGGTCTCTGGGGCTACCTGGATGCTGCCCACTCTGTCCACCACCACCTGCCTCATGCAGGGGACCCCGCTCAGGAGCAGGTCTACCCAGGAGCCTCATCTGTGCCCTTCAGAGACATGAGCACACTGCTTTCTTGGCAGGGCTGCTCCATCCTCAGGCGGCCCTGGTGAGAACCACCTGCCTCTTCTCTCGGGCTCCCCAGGGTTCATGCGTGGGGACGACACAGCACAAGTCTATTCCCTCTGCCCCTGACATCCTCCAGGGACTGAAGACAGCTCTGCCTTAGGCTCAAGACCGAGCACCCTGTTCCCTCCCTGGTGTGTGCAAACCCTCACCATCCTGAACCGCACCCCCAGGACATGAGGGGTCCGCCGCAGGAGCCATGTCCAGAAGTCAAGGTATTCTCTAGGGGGCTGAGGCTGCAGTGGCCAAGATGGTGGGTTTTGGCCTTTATTTGCAGAGTTGCTTTTCTCAAAGGTGGTAATGACCTTACAAAACACCTAGCTAACCAAGCAGCTTGGGCTGACACTGGGTGTGTTTGGCCTTTCCTCTCTCCAGGGTAGTGTCAGAGCCCAATCAGAGCAAAACTCCAGGTTCTTGGTGACAGGGGGGGTCTCGGGAGAGGGGCCACAGCTTCCAGGAGCCTTATTCTTCTCCAGCCCCACTCAGGACTGGCTGGAAAGGTAGGTTTTCCATCAAAGGGCCTTCCTTGAGAAGGCAGCCTCACCTCCACGCACAGAGCTGGAGGGGACGGGTGGCAAGCAGGCTGCAGCTGATGGAAGAAGGCGCCCTGACTTCCCTCCACTTGCCCGGCATAGCCCAGCACACACTCCCTTTCTGGGTCTCCCCGCCCTGTTACCTTGGACTGGGTGTCGGAGAGTGTGTTCTTGACCACTCGGATGGCCAGGGAGATGGTCCTGATGCTCATTCTGGGCTCTGAAAGAGGAAAGCCTGCCTGGAGGTCTACTGGCCTCAGGGCTGGGATCTGAGGACATGCCCAGAAGTGGTGAGGCCCCTCTGCCACCTTCCACGGAGACAGAGGATCAGGACCCGTCCGTGCCATGCCTCCTGAGAACCTCTGACTCACCCCCACAAGCTCAGGGCCGCTGCCCTCAGAAGTCAGCCGGCACTCTCAATGCCCACCCGCCCCAGCCCAGGGGGTCGTCTCTAGGCCTCACTCCCTCGGCCTCTGCTGCGCGTGTGTCTCTTTGGAAACTAGGGGACTCTCCCTGAGGGCAGGGTCTCCTCCTGAGAGCTCGGTGGTCCCCTCAGCGGGACACACAGGGCCAGACACACAGCGGACACACGCAGACCACCCCGCCCGGCTTCAGAGGCCGGGGCTCCGGGGCCAGGCTGCTGTGCTGTCTCTGGCTCCATCGCATCCCACTGTGTGACCGCGCGGGACTTACTCAGGCCCTCTGAGCCTCAGCTTCCTCCCCTGTGACAGGCGGACACTGAGAGCGGGTCCCTCCCCAGCCTCTGTGAGCAGTGACACGAGCTGACACACACGGGGCCTGGTGTGCAACAGTGTGAGTGTGTGCTGGAGGGAGGGTGAGGAGGAAGATCAGGGAGGTAAGGAAGGGCGCGGAGAAGGCTCTCGAGAGGTCGGCGTGGACACATCCACAGTCAGGCGCTCAGGGCCTTGCTACACTCAAGTCTAGGTGCTACTAGACGTCACTGCAGGAGGAAGAATAACAGGAAATCAGGTCCTGGTGGAAGATGCAGGAATTCAGGCACCAAGGGATGATGTTACACTTAAGAGCTTTTCACCTCTAAAATGGAAACCTTTTTTTCTGATTATAAAAATAGTCTATGTTCACTGAGAAATTAAAATAAAAGATAACCAGCCTTCATGGTTTAGGCGTACCCTTCTCAACTCATTTATGTAAAAATGAGCACCTAGATTTCTTTCACATCACAGAGGTCATGGAGGTGGAGGTGATGGAATTCCAGTTGTCCTATTTCAAATCCTAAAAGATGATGCTGTGAAAGTGCTGCACTTAATATCTCAGTAATTTGGAAAACTGAGCAGTGGCCTCAGGACTGGAAAATGTCAGTTTTCATTCCAGTCCCAAAGAAAGGCAATGCCAAAGAGTGCTCAAACTACCGCACAATTGCACTCATCTCATATGCTAGTAAAATAATGCTCAAAATTCTCCAAGCCAGGCTTCAGCAATATGTGAACTGTGAACTAGATGTTCAAGCTGGTTTTAGAAAAGGCAGAGGAAACAGATCAAATTGTCAACATCTGCTGATTCATCGAAAAAGCAAGAGAGCTCCAGAAAAATATCGACTTCTGCTTTATTAACTATGCCAAAGCCTTTGACTATGTGGATCACAACAAACTCTGGAAAATTCTGAAAGAGATGGGAATACCAGACCACCTGACCTGCCTCTTGAGAAACCTGTACGCAGGTCAGGAAGCAACAGTTAGAACTGGACATGGAAACACAGACTGGTTCCAGATAGGAAAAGAAGTACGTCAATGCTGTATATTATCACCCTGCTTATTTAACTTACATGCAGAATACATCATGAGAAACGCTGGGCTGGAAGAAGCACAAGCTGGAATCTAGGTTGCTGGGATAAATATCAACAACCTCAGAAAAGCAGATGACACCACCCTTATGGCAGAGTGAAGAAGAACTAAAGAGCCTCTTGATGAAAGTGAAAGAGGAGAGTGAAAAAGTTGGCTTAAAGCTCAATACTCAGAAAACTAAGATCACGGCATCTGGTTCCATCACTTCATGGCAAATAGATGGGCAAACAGTGGCTGACTTTATTTTTCTGGGCTCCAAAATCACTGTAGATGGTGACTGCAGCCATGAAATTAAAAGACGCTCACTCCTTGGAAGGAATTTTATGACCAACCTAGATAGCATATCGAAAAGCAGAGACATTATTTTTTCAACAAAAGTCTGTCTAGTCAAGGCTATGGTTTTTCCAGTGGTCATGTATGGATGTGAGAGTTGGACTATAAAGAAAGCTGAACACCAAAGAATTGATGCTTTTGAACTGTGGTGTTAGAGAAGAGTCTTGAGAGTCCCTTGGACTGCAAGGAGATCCAACCAGTCCTTCCTAAAGAAAATCAGTCCTGGGTGTTCATTGGAAGGACTGATGGTGAAGTTGAAAATCCAATACTCTGGCCACCTGATGCAAGGAGCTGACTCATTTGAAAAGACCCTGATGCTGGGAAAGATTGAGGGCAGGAGGAGAAGGGGGCAACAGAGGATGAGATGGTTGGATGGCATCACCGACTCGATGGACATGGGTTTGGGTTGATTCCAGGAGGTGGAGATCGACAGGGAGGCATGGCATGCTGAGGTTCATGGCATCGCAAAGAGTCAGACACGACTGAGCAACAGAACTGAACTGAAAGAGTGAGACAGGACTGATAAACTTTCACTTTCTCTGTTGCTTAAATTTGCATTTCTGTAAAAGATGGGTTTACTGTCAGAAGAATGTCTCTCACATACAGTTGCTCAGCCTGTGTACTGCACAAGGATAAGTAGCTGAAGGGCTGAACTGATGCCAACCAAGCACTTCTCAGGGCTTCCCGGGTGGCGCTAGTGGAAAAGAACGCTCCTGCCAATGCAGGAGACAGGAGAGATGTGGATTTGATCCGTGGGTCAGGAAGACCCCCTGGAGGAGGAAATGGCAACCCACTCCAGTATTCTTGCCTGGAGAATCCCATGGACAGAGGAGCCCGGTGGTCTGGGAAACAATGGGCGGGACTGCAGTGCCTGTGCTCAGCACGTGTGCTTCTCCAGCCATGCAAGACCAGCCGCGGCCAGCAGAGGGCGCCGCGTTCACATTCAAGCGGACGCTCTCTGCGCCGGCGCTCTGGGGAACAGCGTGTCCCTGGGGGTCCCTAGGCCGGGCTTGGGGTCTGGGCTGAGGGGATTCGGAAGCAGGGTTTCAGACTAAGCTTAGGCACCGGGTCAACGGGGCTTCAGGGCACATCTATACTGTGTATCTAGGCTTTATGTGCAGACTTCCGGCTAGCTTTGGGAGCTATACTAGGATTTGTGGTTTGAAATTCAGGCTCAGGCAGAAGCTGGGATCAGGGCTGAAGGAGAGGGGCGAGGCCGTGGAGGGTGGGACACAAGGCTGCTTAGGTTCAAGAACGGGAAACGGAGCCCCGGAGAGCCCTGACTCCGCGGCCCACCCAGCAGGGTCTACAGAGAGGAAATGGCCCAGGCACTTCCCCGGCAGTCCAGGGGCTAAGACTCCGTGCTTCCATCGCGGGGAGCATGGCTTCGATCCCCGTCAGGGCACTCAGGTCCCACATGCCGCCGCGAGTGCGGACAAACAGTTAAGGGGAAAAAAGGCCAGATATGACTGCCACCTGCCACCCTTGCTCCCGCCCGGCCTCCCTGCGGGGTGAGTGCTCACCATCTGCGCTCACCACTGCCCGATCAGGGCCAGGGTCCCCACGCGGATGGCCTCCTTGCTCATCTCCATCTGACTGAGGAAGAACTGCATCAGCTCCTTGGGGTAGGAGCGGGCTGCAGGGGTGAGGGGGAAGGACAGCTTCAGTCGTGCCCTGAGTCAAGGGCGGCAGCGGGACAAGGCAGCCCCGGGGCCCGGCGCTCAGAGGGGGACCAGCACTCCCGAGGGCTCTCGGGGCGCCTCACCAAGCGGTGCACGATCTCCGCCAGGTTCTGGCTGCTTTATTGCTGCTGGGCGGGGGCCCTGGAGCACACCTGAGGAGGGCCGGGCAGGGGGGTGGAGAGGTCAGCCCCACGGCGGGGCACACGGGCAGGAGCCCCACCTGTGCCTCGCCCCCGGCAGGAGGCGGGAGGCCTGGGGCATCGGACGGGGCCCACCGCCACCCTCCCACCCGTTGAGCTGGTCGGCAAACGACTCGGCCCCAGCGCGCCTCCCTTGCCCGCCCCCAGCCCGCCTCCCCTGACCCGCCCCCAGCCCGCCTCCCCTGACCCGCCCCCAGCGCGACTCCCCTGACCCGCCCTGGGGAAGGCCACGCCCCGCGCGGCCCTGGGGCTCACCTAGACATGCAGCTCCGTGAAGATGGTATGCAGCTGCATCTGCGGGACTGGGCTGTTGGTGATGAAGGACATCTCCAGGATCTGCCTCAAGATCTGCCACAGACAGGAAATGGTGGCTGGAAACAGAGTCGGACTCGGGGGTCTGGGCAGGGCTTGAGAGGTGGCCTCTTTGCCCAGCTCCCAGGCGATACTGATACATCCAGAGGGGGAACTTCAAGGGCAAAGGTCTGGCGTTTGACCTCAGTCGGTCGAACAGCTCGGCTGGGCTGCACTATGGCCACCGAGTGTGGTGTTCAAGGCCTTCTTCCCCTTTCTCCCCTAGCCACCTAGAGGTGCATCCCAACTTTAGACAGAAGGTCTGCACGTGGCTCCCCAAATGCGGCATGTTTCTTTCTGTTCCCAGCTCTCACCAGGAGAAGGGCCTCGCCTCCTCTGTAAATGAATGACCCCCTTCACAATATATAGCAGCCCAGGTCACAACTTGGCTCAGAATCTTGCAAAGACTCCATCTCACACATGTCCAAGGCTGGTAAGAGGTTGAATGGTGTCCCCCGCCACCAGAATCCATGTCCACCCACAACCTCAGAATGTGAGCTCACTTGGAAATAGGGTCTTTGCAGACCTAATTACTTAAGGCTCTCAAGATGAGATCACCCTGACAACGCCTTACATCCAAGGATCAGTGTCTTTACGAGAGAGGAGAAGACAGAGACACAGAGATGGCCATGTGACCACGGAGGGGGTGCTGGAATGACGCAGTGCCTGGGCCACCAGAAGCTGGAAGAGGCAAGGTTCTCCCCTAGAGCCTACAGAAGGAGCTTAGCCTGCCGACACCTTGATTTCAGACTGCCGGCCTCCAGAACCACGACAGACACATCTCTGTGGTTTAAGCCACCTGCCTCCTGGCTCTTTGTTGCGA